ACGTCCTACCGTACCTTCCGTCGTACGTCGTACCGTCTACCGTACTACGTATATTATATATATATATAGTAGTAGAGAAGAGGAGAGAGAGAGAGAGAGAGAGAGAGAGATATGTGCCAAAAGAAATAACATCCAAAGACGGCAGAAACCGTTCAATTTTCGAATGATCAGATATTTTTTAGGTATTGAGGAACTCAAATATAGTTTGTTTTTAAAAAGACTCATTCATTGATTCTAAAAGTATATTTTAAATTTTCAAATTAGAGTGATTTACGTATGGGTGCAGTTTATATAGATCCAAGGCTCTAAACAATCAAATTTGAGCCCACCTTCAAATAGTACCGAGAAATATGGTTTCAATGTCTGAAAGTTTTGTGATAGCCTTAAATTATATTTTCATCTTTAGTTATAAAATTTAAATCTTCAAAAAGAGTGTATATCGATCAGATCTATGAAAACTTGAAAATCTTAATAATTGAGATGATCAGTTTGATGATATTCGGGCATCAAAACGACCTATTCTAATAAATCTTTTGAAGTAGGCTCTAATTTGATTGTTTAGAGCCTAGGCTCTATATAAACTTTTCCCTTTAGGTATAGACCTTAAATTTTTTTCTAAAATAAGAAATGTTGTGGAAATTACAAAAAAAATCAGTCAATTATTTTTTTCAAAATTTCCCCACAGTCCGAAAACATATGTGAACCAAATTTTAATTATTATTTTGTTTAACTTTTTTCATTAATAGGGCACTACCCAATGGAGCATATATATGATAGGATCCCGCAGGAGTATGCTCCACATGCTCAATGGAGCTGGCTTAGTTTCTCTTTCCTAAGTCCTAACAAATATGAATAATAGCATTTATTATCTCTTTTTTGTGCTTTTTTGAATCACCTTCAAACTTTTGCATTACTTTAAAAAGTTCTTTAGAAAGATTTATGAGTGTCCTATTTAGAAAAAGGTGTGGTTTGTATAGAGCCTAAGCTCTAAAAAATCAAATTAGAGCCTATCTTCAAATAGTGTCAAGAAAAGTGGTCTCAATATTGAAAATCTTTATGATAGTATTAAAATATATTTTTATCTTTATTTATAAAGTTTAAAGCTTCAAAAATAGTGTAGATCGAGTAGATTTATGAAAATTTAAACTTGAAAATTGACCATCAAAAATAAATTAAAAAATACATTATTTCTAAAACTTGAAATCCATGTTTTGCGTCCGTACACGGTGATGTTAAGATGAACAATTCGAGGATCAAAACAATCTTTTCTAATGAAATTTTTGGGGTAGGCTCTAATTTGATATATTAGACTTTTCCCTTTAAAAAATGTCTTTATTTAAAGTGTCATAAAGGTATTTTAAGGAAGTTCAAGTTCTATGAAAAGTCAAGGTTGGTATATATCCATGTACAGCTTAAGGTATCGGTATTCCTACCAAATATGGCATTTTTAGCTTTGGCTTGGAAGCCGAGCCGAGAGGATACTGCTCGCCGCGTAAGCCATGACGTAAGGAAATTGCGAGAGAGAGATGAATCATGCTCTCCACATGGGCTTATTTTTCATGGGAGGTTTTACCAAAATGTCCTTACCTGATCCATGATATTTCTACACTGCGCCTAATTTATTTGGCTCATGAGTGTGTATACCAATGTTTTAAAATCCAGATTAGTTTAATGTTGGCCATTCGAAAAATTAGTTTGAATTGGCAAATTGACTTTAAGGATGGGTCAATAAAAATGTCAAAAAATATTGAAAAAATAAACTAAATAATAAGAAAAAATTTTGATTAATGATTTCTTGATAAAATTGGTTTGTTCCTTAATATAATTGACCGATTCTATAGGAACATGATCAATTTTTTATTTTGATTAGAAACGAGGTCGATCACTACCAATTCCCAATCTGGATTGCGGATTTTTTAGAGTATGGTGTAAGCTATGAAATAGAAGCACCTAGTAAAAACTAATTCTATTCTACAATTGACATTAAATGATCATGCCTATCATATGAATGCAATCTACCAAAGAAACCAATAAACATTTAATTACTGTTAGGAAAGGGGTTGGATCATGATGGTGGCACCCCCATACCCTATTCACTATGTTGTGCTTTTATTCCTACTTACACCACCCCACATACAACTTCAAAAAACTAACTCTTAAACCATTTTACAAAAGGAAAAAGTTTATATAAGGTTACAACTTTAAAATGTAGAATCACATATGCACCTCAAAAATCTATCGAAAATGTTGTTTTAATGTTGACAAAGCCCTCTAATCAATCATCTCAACATCGAGATCTATGAATATGAAAAAAAAAAAAGTTTTTGAGTCTCGGAAATAGTGCATCTTACAACACATTATCTAGACCGTCCATTTTCAAGATTTTCATATATTTATAGATCTACTTGATTTTAACCATTTTTGAAATTTAAAATTTTCTAATTAAGTATGAAAATAGATTTTGAGATACTATTAAGATTTTTTTACAACAAAATTATATGTTATGATAAAATTTGGAGGTGCGTCTTAATTGGATTGTTTAAGGTTGCAACCTTATAGAAACCACACCCTTTAAAAAATGGGTAGGGGCCTTTCTTCCCCTTTGAATTACCCCGAAAACAAACAAAAAAAAACATTAAATTAGTGTGTAGAGACAAGGAAATGGAAGCAAATCTCTTCCCCTTTGAATTACACCGAAAACCAAAAAAAAAACATTTAATTAGTGTGTAGAGACAATGAAATGGAAGCAAAGGAACTTGTAAAAGATTCAGTTTTTGTTGAGAAGGAAATTGTTACTTTATAAACTTGGTATGCTTCTCGCTAAAGTGAATACCCTATTGTACTAGGTAAAGAGTTCGGGCTTATCCTAGGTTCAATTCCTATCAACGGTAGAGGCCCTCTCTCCACTAACTGACCCAAAAAAAACAAAAAATTCTACTATACGATGTTTATTGTCCATTAATGGTTAACTAGCTGAGAAGCTCTCTCTTCTCTGGTACGCATGAAATACTTTCATTTAATTAGGTTTGTGAAAATACTGTTGTCCATTCATTGCTAACTAGCTGAGAATCTCTCTCTTCTCTTTTGTTTGCATGAAATATTTTCATTTAAGGTTTGAGAATATTTTCACGTCAATTAGGTTTAATGTATCTTTTTACACTAATTTACAGTTAATAGGAATAAAAATATTTCCGCACCAAACCAGTTACGCTGACCAAACATGTGTTTTAAAAGTATCCAAACAGGCAGTTACTAGGAATAAAAATATTTCCGCACCAAACCGGTTACGCTGACCAAACATGTGTTTTAAAAGTATCCAAACAGGCTAGTAGAGTTTCATCTCTCTCTTCTCCCTCTCTCTTTATAGAGTGAGATTTGTATAAGGTATCCACCTTATACTATTGAAGTAAGGTGCACCTCATGCCAATGTCAAAAAATGTAGCTTTGGTACCGCAAAGCTTCGCAATGCTATGAAAATCTATTGTTACTCCCAATTATGAGATCTAAAGTTCTAGAAATGGTGACGATTAAGTAGATTTATAAACGCTTGAACATATTGAAAATAGATGGTCCAAATAATGTGTCAGAAGATGAACTATTTTTAAGATTAGAAATTCTTTTTTTTCCCCTTTTTTATGAATCTTGAGGTCAAGATAATCGATTTGAAGGTTTTTACCCTAGAAACAACTTTTCCTAATGGTTTTTTAGGTGCACCTTATTGGTACAGTATAATTTTGACACCTTATATAAACTTTTTCCCCTCTTTATGCTTCCAAGCCTTTCCTTTCCTTCCCTGACACAAGCTACCCAACCCACGGCCGAACCAATAATCATTTTCGCCAATGGGGAAAGGAAAAAGTTTATATATAGCCGATGCTCGAAACAATCAAATTAGAGCCCACCCCAAAAATTTCACTAGCAGAGGTTGGGTTGATGCCTAAATATCCTCAAATTGATCATCTCGACATCAAGATGCATAGACGTGAGATAAAAAAAAAAAAAAAGATTTCAAGTTTAAGACGCAGTGCATCTTGTAACAAATTTTTGGAACGTCAATTTTCAAGATTTTTAAGTTTTTATAGATCTACTCGATCTACACTATTTTTTAAACTTAAATTTATAATTAAAGATGAAAATATATTTTAAATCTATCACAAAAATTTCGAATATTAAAATCACATTTCTCAATACTATTTGAAAGTGCGTTTTATTTTGATTGTTTAGAGCCTCGGCTCTATCCAAACCGCATCATGGGGAAAACCCTAAAACAGTAACGGGTATGCATCCGTAAATTTGTAAACTAAATGAGGTCATTTATGTCATTTTTCTATTGAAATCCACTGACCTTTGTGCCACCTCTTGGCTTAGGCTCTGGCGATTCTGCACAAACATACAAACCCCATTTATTACTTAATTAATCGTCTAACGGATTAATCTATTCAATTTTTAAATATTAATTTAAACATTTATAATATTTAATCTTGTAAAAACAAATTAAATGTATTTTTCTCCAGAAGTGAGATCTCACTCGTTTCATTGTTACTTTTCGGTACTAAACCAGTGGCTCAATTCCATTCAGCCAAGTATGTTAATGGAGTGCATTTAACTTTCGATGGAAATATTTTTTATTTTATTATTTTATTCATCAAAACCATTAATTGACTGTGCATGTTCATTGACCCATAAAATGATATCTTCAAATTCACTCTTACTTGTCTGAGAACTCATGGTTTGGCTGAAAATTCATGACAACAAACCTTGTATTTGCTCACTGTTTAATGGTGCATGACTCTGTAACTGTCTCTGTTGGTATGTTTTTCTATATGGATTTCTGGTTTTACAAGATCTTCAGGGAAATTGGATGCATTACAGTTGGGTTTTGTCTGTTATAGGGGGAGGAAGCAGGGTTAGAACTTTGGAACTTTGTGGGTTTTTCTTCATTGCATGTTTTTCTATATGGATTTGGGGAGGTGGGTTTTGTTGGGTTTCTATGATTTTTGGGTTTTAAATCCTGGAGATCAATAAATTGACTCTGGTTCAAGTGCCCAAGAAAAATGCTCTTGTTTTGAGAATTTGCTTGAATTTAGCTTCTGAAACTCTTTTCTGTTGTTTTCCTTTTGGGTTTTGTTTTCTTTGTTCTGTTTCAGAAGTTCTCCCTTGAAATTCTTCCTCAAATCCAAGGACTTTGCTATGATTATCACTTTGAAATCAGGGCCTAACTGGGGTTCTCTTTTATTTTTATTCTGAAATGCGGCTTCCTCTTGATCACCTTCTCTGGAATTGGGGCCTACTTTCCTGAGTTTTCTTTGGCAGCAGCACCAACTACATGGTTTCAGTCTTCTGCATTCCATTTTGAGAATTGAGTCTTTTAGGAGAAGTTATAAGACGACATCATGCCGAATTTCTCAACTAGAACAGGCATTTTTTATCCTTGTTCATGCATTTTCTGTTGTTAATTTTCTCTTGTTGATGTTCGACTGCTATGTCGGAGGACACAAATGTTCACAGGGTTGGTGTGTCATGGATCATTTTAATGAGCTTTTTTCTCCTCCCATTTTGCAATGGGTTGAACATGGAAGGCCAGTACCTCTTGGAACTGAAGCAAAGCCTCCATGATGAGTTGAATCTCCTCTCAAACTGGAATTTCTCTGATGAAACTCCCTGTTCATGGACTGGTGTATATTGCACTCTTAGTTATTATAACACCCCAACTGTCAGGTCTCTTAGTCTTAGCCAAATGAACCTATCTGGAACTTTATCGCCCAGTATTGAGAGCCTGACCGGCCTGAATTCCCTTGATTTATCTCATAACCATTTATCAGGAAATATACCAGAAGAGATTGGGAAGTGCTCAAGCCTAGAGTCTCTGGATCTCAGTAACAACTATCTTGAAGGGGAGATTCCCCCACAAATAGGCAACCTCACCCTCTTGAAAACTCTGATTATTTGGAATAACAGGCTTTCAGGGAGTATTCCTGAGGATACTGGTCGGTTATCATCTCTTGTTGAATTATGGGCCTACACCAACAACCTAACTGGGCCTCTTCCTGCTTCTCTTGGAGGTCTCAAGAAGCTGGAGACATTTAGGGCAGGACAAAATTCTCTCTCTGGAAGTTTACCAGTCGAAATAAGCAATTGTGAGAACTTAAGAGTATTGGGTCTTGCTCAAAACTTGCTTGAGGGCGAAATCCCAAGAGAAATAGGGAAGCTTTGCAATCTCACTGATCTGATATTATGGGGAAACAAGTTCTCCGGAGTCATCCCAAAGGAAATTGGGGATTGTCAGAGAATTGAGACTCTTGCTCTTTATCAGAATAATTTGGTGGGAGAGATACCAGTGGAAATCACAAATTTGAAGTATATGAAGAGGCTCTATCTTTACAGGAACCAGTTGAATGGAACCATTCCAAAAGACATTGGAAACCTCACTCTCGCCACTGAAATAGACTTCTCAGAGAACAGGTTGACAGGTGAGATACCTGGGAGTATCAGCAATGTGAAGGGCTTAACATTGCTTTACTTATTTGAGAACCAACTCGGTGGCGTTATTCCTATTGGCCTTGCAAGCTTGACTAATCTGTCTAAGCTCGATCTCTCGATAAATTGTCTCACTGGTCCCATCCCTGTGGAATTTCAGTACCAGAAGAATCTGATAATGTTACAGCTCTTCGATAACTTGTTAAGCGGCACCATCCCACCAAGGCTTGGGGTGTACAGCCCATTGTGGGTGCTTGATTTATCAGAGAACAATCTCAGTGGGAATATACCAAACCATTTGTGCAGGCATTCGAGGCTCATTTTGCTAAACCTCTGGTCAAATGAGCTCATAGGTAACATTCCAAATGGAGTAAGAAACTGTAGAACACTGGTTCAGCTTCGATTGGGCGACAATGGGCTCACTGGTGACTTTCCTGTTGAACTCTGCAAACTGGTGAACTTGTCAACCATTGAGCTGTTTCAGAACAGGTTCAATGGAACCATTCCTCCTGAGATAGGAGGCTGCAGAACCCTTCAAAGGCTCCACCTTTCAAACAACTATTTCACTTCAACCTTGCCTAGAGAGATAGGCAACCTCTCTCAGTTGGTAAGCTTCAACCTTTCTTCCAATCAGATAACGGGAAGCATCCCTTCTGAGATTGTTAACTGTGCGAGGCTTCAGAGACTTGATCTGAGCAGGAACCTCTTTGTGGGTACTCTTCCAAGCGAGCTCGGAAGGTTTGCACAATTGGAACTCTTGCTGCTCTCTGATAACAAGCTATCAGGAACCATAACCAATGTTCTATGGCAAAATCTCACCCATTTGACTGAACTGCAAATGGGTGGGAACAACTTCTCGGGTCCAATACCTCCTGAATTGGGCCAGCTCTCTAGCCTTCAAATTGCCTTGAATCTTAGCCTGAACAATATCTCTGGTGAAATCCCATCAGAACTTGGGAACCTAGTTTTGCTTGAATATCTCTACCTCAATAACAACGATCTCACTGGTGAGATCCCCTCCACATTTGCAAATCTCTCAAGTTTAATGGGTTTTAATGTATCTTACAATGACCTTAAAGGCCCTCTACCTGATATTACCCTCTTCCTGAACATGTCAGTTAGTAGCTTTGTGGGAAACCAAGGGCTTTGCGGTGGACCTTTGGGGAATTGTGGCTCTCCCCCATCGCCTGCTGCCTCTCAACCCTTGCAAGATATGAAGGCACCTGTTGGCAAAATAGTTGGTATAATATCTGCAGTTGTAGGTGCGATCTCACTAGTTCTAATAGTGGTTATCATATATTTGATGAGACGTCCAGTTGAGGTGATCACACCTTACCAAGATAAGCAGTTCTCCACTGTTTCCGATGTCTATTTCTCTCCCAAAGAGGGGTTCACTTTCCAGGACCTGATTGAGGCCACAAATAACTTTGATGACAGTTTTATTATTGGAAGGGGAGCTTGTGGAATTGTGTATAAGGCGGTCATGCCATCAGGTCAGGTGATTGCTGTGAAGAGGTTGGCATCACAAAGAGAAGGGAATAACAGTGTGGATAGTAGTTTCCATGCTGAAATCTCAACATTGGGGAAAGTCAGGCATCGAAATATTGTGAAGCTTTGTGGGTTTTGTTACCATCAGGGTTCTAATCTTCTTTTGTATGAATACATGTCAAAGGGAAGCTTGGGCGAGCTGCTTCATGGGTCATCTTGTAACCTTGATTGGGATACCCGTTACATGATTGCTCTTGGGGCAGCGGAAGGACTATCTTATTTGCATCACGATTGCAAGCCTCGTATTATTCACCGAGATATAAAGTCTACCAATATCCTTCTAGATGATAATTTTGAGGCCCATGTTGGTGACTTTGGACTAGCTAAGGTGATCGACTTGCCGCAATCGAAGTCAATGTCGGCTATTGCAGGATCCTATGGGTACATCGCTCCTGGTAATTAACTCTCTGCTTGACACTTATGGATCTTTTTAGGATTTCTTAACCAGTCATTTCTCATTTTAATCAACTATAAAAAAAATAAAGCAGTATTACTATCTTCTTCACCTTCGTAGAAACCTTAAATTGCAAAATTACTTGTCTTATTTGAATGTTAGTCATTCAGGCTGTCATGTCTCTCCTATTCAATTAGTGTGGCTTCTTGCTAAGTTTCAGCTGCCAAGAGCCAATGCATCTCTCTCCAAGATTTCAAGAGTTGGTCAGAGACTTAGATGTTCTGTTCAAACTTCTAACTTCAAACTTCAAATCTGATGCATTATTCTGCTCTCTATAGTTGTAACACTTCCAAGAAAGTAAGGTCTTGGTCTTCTCCCTGTATTTTCAGTGTTGTTGCAAGCAATCTATCACATTCACTTCACTAAGGCATTTGGCTCTGGTTTATAAAGAAAGAAGAAAATGCTTATACTTATTTTTTCTATAAGCTTATAATTATTTTGTCTATATTTCAGGCCTGTTTATTTGTATCTGACATGACCAGGTCCAGTCATTTTTAATTGTTTACCTTTGGCTGTGGTCTTAGGTGAAAATTCCATACGATTAGTATTTTGGAGTTGAACATAATTTTACCTTAGCATGTATTATGGTTAGATTTTATTCTTTCAAAGCCAAGAATGGCATGCACAGAGCTTGAATCCCATTAACTTGGTCCATCGACATTGCAAATGCCTAAATTGTTGATTGGAGTCTGGACTTCCTAAAGCTTTAGTAAGCACATGGTCTAAATGGAGTCCCTGACTTGTATCTTACATAATGGATACGAATACCTTGGATTCCACTCTTGTCCTTGAATGGCAGCCCACTCTATATGTCTTCTCATAGGTAATTTGATCGGAGACGATATCAAGTGTTGCCTGTTCTTGACAGGATGGTCAACTCTGAAGTCATGTCGTCCTTAGCAAAGATTCCAATCAATGCTGTAAGATTAAACTGGGCCAACTATTCTGGCCTGTTTTATGTGCGCGGTGTCTAAAAAGGGTCTAGTCTTGATGTCAAAATGCTTAATGAAAATGGCTAGGTTCCCCTCAAGAACATATCCTTGTCAATCACAAACATAGTGTCCCTGACCCCCTTTTCCAAGCTCAAGCTCAAGCTCACTGTTTATGGCACCTCTTAAGTCCAGATCTTGGAAGGATGGTCAAGACCCATTTTCAATGGTTCATAAATTCTTGAATCCATTTTCCCACTTATCTCATCCTTGACCCTAAACATTCACTCTCCTATCACAACCACATTATGGTCTTCCTCTTCCTATTAGCATTAGGGACAATGTTGAAGAAGGTGAGAATTAAGGTTTCCATCCGTGGCATATTTCTCCCTATGTTCATCATCATCTAATGAAAGCTTTATACTCAACCTGTCTTTCTATTATCAACTCTCTAGGACACTTCATTGTTCTACTTTTTGACTTATCTTCTAAAACTTTGAGTTCATGGAACTTGGAAATGGCCCAGATATTTCAACATGCTTAATGGATGATTAACCTTAAAATTTCTACATTCTTGTAGTGAAATGATTAATGTCAAAATTTGTGCATTCTTGTACTGAAATTTAATCCAATAAGAGGCTAGAAATTGCTTTTGGACGTATAACCATTTCCCTTTTAAACTTCTCACCCTGTGACTTTTCGCTCTCCCATAATTGGCTGATTGTGTATATATTATGCAACTTGGCAAATCATGCTTATGATATTATCTTAATTAATGTGCCTTTTACCTTTTAAGTCTTGAGTGTCTCAAGATATGGACTACTACAACCGAATGCATTTATGATCTGTTGAACCTTCCTATAAATTAACAGCGTGTTTGGTCATCTATAGTGAGATAAATTGGGCTACTAGAAGGATGCTCGGTGTTGTTATTTATTTATTTTGGTTGAAGTAGCTCTTGATTTTATTTTGGATGCTTTTTGGAAACCTAAAACTGGCTTGTTATCATTGGCTATTAACCATTTCACTACAATGGAAACAATCATTTGTTGGATGTAGTTCTGCAATATGTCAATCTTTTGGCGTTTGTTAGTAGTTTTATATAATTAATTCGTTTTCCAAATAAACTATGAGAACCACAAAAGGTTATATATATATATATATATATATATATAGTATATAGTATA